GTGTTTGTGTGTGTTAGAGACTGAATGTGTGATTATATGTATGTGTAAGAAAGAATGTCTATATATCTGTGTGTAAGAGAATATTTTCACACACGTGTGTGTGTTCGTGCTGTTGAGAGAGACTGTATATGCGTGAGTGTATGAGACTAAGAGTGCGTGAATATATATATATATATATATCTTGTGTGTGACAAAGAATGTATGATTATATGCGTGTTTATAAGAAATAATGTATGATTGTGTGTGTGTAAGAAAGAATGTATGACTATGTAAGTGTAAGCGAGAATGTGTGCGTATATATGTGTGTGCGTTTGTATGTGTGCTTGTAAGAGAAGAATGTATATATGCATATGTGTTTATGTTTGATGGAATGTACACGTGTTTGCCTGTGTGTGTGAGGGGAGAGAATGTGAATGTATACCCACGCACACACATAGGTACACACACACACACACATATATATATATATATATATATATATATATATATATATATATATATATATATATGCACATATATATATATATATATATATATATACACGTGTTTGTGTATGTATATACATGTATCTCCACACACTTATATAAGATGTTTAATTGTCATGGAGAGAAACAAGAGGAAGAACAATAAATCAAAGTTGACGACTAATTTTTTTAACAAGCTCCAAATTGTCAGCCATTGATGCGAATGGTCCTCATTTTTCCGGTAAGCTCACTATTAACCTTATTTATTCCAGAGATACCAACGAGCAGAAGTCCTTCCTTTTGGGGATGACCTTCCGGTTAGATCAATTGCAATCAACTCTTGTTTGCATCGGAAGGTGGAACACAATTCTACATCGTCACCTCCGTGTGTTCTATTGACTTCACTTAAAAAAAAAAAATGAAACATTGTCAGTAGAATTTAAAGCTATTAACCCATGAAAACACGAACTTTATTAGCCTTCTTTTCTTTGCTTCTCTCTATGATAATTAAATAACATATCCAGTAGGTTCCTTTTAACTGTGATACAAAAGAAATAGAGCAAATTGACCTAATTAGGCGACTGCCCGGTTATGTGAAACGACATATGCACATTTTAAATGCGCGCATTTGAGTTGTGTTTTGAGTTACGGGGAGTGGGGCTTTAAGTCAGGGGACACAAGTAAGAATTTGTACACTGTAACTAATTCACTTCATTTTCACAGTGGGGGTGGCAAATGCTTATCGGAGTACTGATCCAGTCTTTTTCTTTTATGTGCCATGTCTCTTCAGGATGTGGACGGTCATGTCTCTCCCCAACTTTCTATCTTTTGTAGCTTTTAGTAATATTTACCTTTTTATAATCCCTCCATGTTCTGTTATTCATTTGCACACGCTCGTTAGGCAGGTTACTCGCCGTTTTCTTTTGTCTGTCTTGCTTTTAACGTTCTGCGAGTGTCAAATTTTCCAAGCCTTCTTTCCTCATATGTCCTAGAAATTTTAAATGTCTTTCTGATTTTAAGTTTCCTTTTTGTTTCCTTTTAGCTAAGGAAAATCTTCCTTGTTACTCACATGTTCAGTCCATGCTATTCTCTGTATCTTTCTGTGGTACCACATCTCTCTGCATCTGTGAGTTTCCTCTTTGTCTGTGAAGAAATTGTTCAGTATTCACTGCCATATAGGAGGATTAATATTGCATAGCACTCTTTCTTTTGTTTCTAACGAATGATTTTCCCGTTTAATCAATTTAAAAAAATCAGTTTTTAAACATTCAGACAAAAACTAAAAAAACAACAAAAAACAAAGTTTTTAAATTTCTATTTTAATAAAAGATTTCCTAACTTACTGATTTTTTTTTTTAATTTAATGATGGTTCACCAAATACAAGGCTCAAGAGCCCCTCAAGGTAGAGGGTTACTGAGCGAGATTGTTGTAAGGGAGAGGGAAGGCGTAATTAAGAAATGCACATTATAATGACGTGTAGGATAGATATCGGTTGACTCTGAACTTAAAGAGACCAAGATTGTAGTTATTAGGGAAGTGTCCTCTCGGGAGTTTGTTCCACAATTCTTAACTCTCATTGAGGATTGAAGATTTTATAAGGTGTAACCTGCTACAGTCTCTTAAATGATAGCAGGTCACGAAAATCAGCGCAATTATCTAATGAAGGTAACGGATTGTTTTTGTTATCGTTTTGTATAAAATAATGTTGTGACTCCTCTCCTTATGTCATTATTTCCTGGTTAGACATACTGTAATTTTAGGATTTAGAATATTGCATGCACTAAGTAACACACATAATTGTGTCCATACTCTAAAAGCATACTTATAACAGTTGCACAGTAGATGCCCCCTGACTCGTGCTAAAGGGTACAGGATAGAAATAATCAACCAAAATGTCATTTTGCTTTGTTCTGGCTGATCCAATTATACGACTTGGTTGCCCCCACATCAACAAAAGATGCGAATATAATATACTTGATTTGTTTTAGCTTTCAAAATTTAGCTAAAAAAAGGAATGCTCCGATTAATGCAATTAAGTAAAAAATATAATGAACATTTTTGTTCATTTTATTATTATTATTATTATCATTCTATTATATTTGTGTTTGTCTCTGACTTCGTTAGTTAGCACGACCGTTACGTTTTGTCAATACCTCATAAATAATTTGATCGTGTGGAAAGTGGGGAAAAACATTACTTGGTTTCAGTGAGAAAATGAAAGAAAAAAGTAAAGATAGAATCAGATTAAGCTGATAAAAAGATACTACACTTTGATCTCAATCATAAGGCCTAGAACTGTGGCTACCGTGATAATAGCGCCATTTTTCAGACGCATAATATCGAACGGCGGAAACCGAGTAAGGCAATTGCCAAAAATCCAATGACCATAAATTAAATAAAATATCATCTGCAGAATTATTTTAAAATTATTATAAGAGAAATGTTCGTAAGATGGGGATTTGGCCAGAAAGAAAGAAAGAAAAGAAAAAAAAAAGGAAGATAAGTGTTTAACGTTTCTTACCAATACAATAACAGACTATTTTCCGTTTTGATCGCGTGGAAAAAGGAGAAAAGACACTATTTGATTTCAGTGAGAAAATGAAAGAAAAAAAAAAGAAATAAAGAAGGGAAAATAGAAGTATTTAACGACTGTTTCAGTGAAATGGAAAAAGTTGTCAATTTAAAATCTTTTCATTTCTACTCACTTCTTAGTAATTAGCATTCGTTGATAATAATAATAAGTTAAAATTTCACGGTTCCCGATATAAATTTTCTGATTGTTAACTTTTAATGATTGAATAAGCTCATCGTGAGTTCTACGAAAATAAAATATCCGCAGAAATTACCCCATCACGAGTCTTTCTAGTTATTCTTATTAATAACAACTCTATTGATTTTCTAACTTTTTTTTTTAGTAAAGGAACGGTCTTGGTATTTACTTCTTTATGGTACTGCTCAGCTGATGGGGGTGAGGTAATTGAGATATGAAGATTGTACCGCGCCAAATTTACACGTAATCAGGGTTGCTTTCCTTAAAAATCTATGTTCTAGTTCTTTAACTGAACACAAACACCGACTGCTGGCACTAGCAGGAACTATGCAACTAACTCAAACATGAAACAGTACTGAACGAGGTTTTGGTCGACATGTAATCTACATGCAAAGACTCCATCATTCGTTGGCGTCGACTTAACCGCTTCAGCAATGCCTATCATATTATTTTTATATTTTTTTTATTTTTCTGAGAAACATTTTATTGTTAAGTTATAAGTTTTACAGGCTTTAATGTTGCTTTTTATCCCCTCATTCCCGGTCAGTACATGTTTCATAATTACTATTATTATTAATTTTACTCCATCTTATGGTACATGCTTTTCATCGCAACACTCTTGATCAGTATACATTCAACGAGAATTATATTCTGTTTCAACACTTCGGAGCTTGTCTTTCATGGACATGATCTGAATCATTTCGATCATGGAAACCTTATTGATGAAAGTCTAAATCTGTTGTCATTCTACTGCTTTCTCTCCGATTATAGACACCATCTTTGTTTTAAGCCTTCCTCTCCGATGGCCAAAGATGCATTCCAAAAGCAAAGCAGAAAAAGACAGAAAAATTTAGTCGAAAACAAAGAAAAGATTACTGAACTGTTACGTGATATCCTCTTATATGGCAGCGAATGCTGGGTCATCTTTGAGAAGATGAAGAAGAGACTTGAACAACAGAAATGTGGTTCTACAGAAAGATGCTGAGGATATCATGGACCGAACATGTGAGAAACAAGGTTTTTGAGAGAATGGAAACAAAAAGGAAGCTTATATTTAACACCAGGAAGAGGTAGTTGAAATTTCTGGAACACGTAATGAGGAAGAAGGGCTTGGAAAATCCGATACTCACGGGACAGATTGAGGGAAAGAGGAGGGACAGGGAAAAGCAGCGCGTAACATACTTGATGGACTTCAGCAAATGGATGGTAGAACAGGGTTTGGGAGAAATAACAAAAAGACAAAACTTATTACGAGCTACAAAGGACAGGAAGATGTGAAAAGCCATGATTGCCTACGTCCTGAAGAGACACGGCACATAAAAGAAGACTTAGTAGAATTATTTTTTTGAAATTGTTTAGCGGAAGCATTTTCACGTTTATTATTTGATAGTCAATTTAGTAACATCTACTCTTAATCTCCCGCCTTAGAGAGATGGTCAACAAGCTAATCTTGGATACCAATTGCTAGTATAATGAATTCGGACTTTACTGTAACTTTGTGTCACCAGCAGGTTTAATAAGTAGTTTGCTTTGTGGCTGTATGCCCAGTTGCCACCCCTGTTAGGGGTTCAAATCCGAGTAAAAATACAAATATTAAAAGTGGATAGAAGATTACCAGGCAAAGGTTAATGCTGTTGAAGGTTTAAGATTAAGTATTTTTTATTCTTCGACGAATTATTCAGGCAAGTTTCCTTATCATTACTAACTGAAACGTTGAGATAAAAACAACAATTATAAGGATACTAGTTCTATTAATAATTGTAGCATGTGTTTTTCCTCCATTCGTTATTTCATCTTGTTTCCTTTCCTCTTCACTTTTCTTTTCTTCCCGTCTTTTTATTTTTACCTCATCTCTATTTCCTTCTTCTTCCTCTCTTTTTTCTACTGTTTCTTCCCCTCTCTCTTACTTTCTTTCACCTCTTTCTATTTCTTTCACTTTTGTTTCTCTTTCTTTCAACTCTTTCTTTTCTTCTCTTTCTTTTTCCCCCCTCTCTTTTCTCTTTCTTCTCCCCTCCCTTTTCTTCTTCTCTCTTTTCCTCTTTATTCCCTCTTCTTTCTTTCCCTTTTTATTACCCTTCTCACTATTCATTTATTTCCCCATCTGTCGCTCTTTTTCTCTGTATTTCCTCCTCTTTTTCTCTTTATTGTTTCTGCTTCTTTTTGCCTCGTTTTTTTTTACTTGCTTTCGCTCTCTTTATTTTTCATTTTCAGTTTTAACAGATGGGTTTTGCAACAGTGGAGTGATATCAAAATGTAATGTTAGAGTCCATTAAAATAGGCATAGACCTCACCAGCCTGGCTGTTGAGATGAGAATTATTTGTTATTTATCCAGCCTAGCTTGCTCTCGTACGAGGCCGCAATAGAGCAGCATGCAGCGAGGATCGAACCCACTACAATAGCGAATAGGTTTTATTTGTTCACCATCGTCCTCTCGTAAGCGTCATAAGTTCATTTTAAATCCTTAATTCTGAGAAATATTGAGCCAGTCATCTATTGCTGACTACTTCTCACGGATTAGAAGAATTTATTTGTTATAGGATCTCATATTGTATGTTTTTTTTTTTTAAGTTTAAATAACAAAAATAACAGCTAATCGAAGAAGTAGGTGGCTAAACTTCTCGGTATCGCTTAGATGATTAAAAAATGGCTAGTGTTTATAAAAAATGAGAAGGTAATCTGATGGGTTGTTGAGGTTCGTTGTTCAACCGTAAGCGATGAAGAAAGAAATTACTTTTCTTTTAGTTCTTATATAAAAAAAAAAACAAAAAACGCGTCGATGAAAAACGTTAAGTTTTATCTTTATAAACGTCAGAATTTCCTCTGACTATTTTCCCATTTTTTGTGGTGATTTATATCAATTAACTTGAAATCTCAAAGACGTCGGTATCAGTATTAAACGATATAGCTGTCAACATAACGTTATCGTATATGTTATGCATATATCAATATACAGCTTTCAGATCAGAGATAAAATGACCACCCATTACGCTTTTTTCCCCCCTTTCTCGATATTTATTTATCTTAGCATGATACAACAAAAGAACACATACTGGAAAAGAGGCTCAAAGAAGAAGATGGTGTAACGCCACTGTTTAAAGTGGACACAGATTTCCTATCTAGAAAATCCTAATTTGTATCTAGATTCGAAACACTGATGGAATAATATCTAATATTACAAACCATAAAGTAAAATTTACTAACATATTTTTTTCTCATTTAACATCAAAAACAGGCAGTTGAAATTTCTAGAGCTCATAATGAGGAAAGCAGGCTTGGAAAATTTGATACTCACAGGACATATTGAAGGCAAGCGGGACAGAGGAAAACAACGCATAACCTACTTAGCGAGCTTGAGTAAATGGATGGCAGAGCAAGGTGTAGGAGAGATAACACAAACATTAATTAAGAACTACAAAGGACCGGAAATTGTGGAGAGCCATATTCGGCTATGTCCTGAAGGGACACGGCACATAGAAGAAGACCTAAGGCCACACGTTTGGCGTGCATAGTTATGTTAAACTTCGATATTTAGCTTTTTGTTTTTAAATAATAATGTTCACTCTGTACAAGGCTCAAGACCACACGAGGTAGAAAGTTACAGAGTAAGAGGCACAATTTTCTGGGAAATATGAGGAAGGTAGCGGTTAATCCTAGACCTGAACAGGTTAAGATTATAGCGATCGAGGAAGCATCCTCTTGGGAGCTCTTCCTCAAAGCAGCGGTTTGTGGAAAGAAGCTGCTCCAGTTGAACTTACATCTCACCAATGTAATACGAATGGAATGAGGGTGTTTCTCTACAATAGGCGTGGCATGGTGGGTCTTAGCCGTAAAAGTTAGAACTGGTGGAACTAAGGAATGTAGTTCGTCTGTCATTTTCATGAAAATAGCGACAGAGTAGTGAGAGTCTTGCAGCATTTCTCCTGTGGGAAAAGGGGTTCTAGGCTGGGAAATAATTTATCATCCACAAGGACGCTGAGACGTTTTTGAAGACTGGAAAGTGAAGACTCGGCACATCCTTCCCAGATATGACAGCAGTACTCCATTGTCGGCCTGATATGGCTCTTGTAAAGGTAGAGGATAGCAAGAGAAATCAGCTTAACTATAGAATAATATAAAATGAGGTGCGTAAAAAAAAAATGTGGGTGGGTCCTGTTTTACAAGAAAATCAGCATTTGAAATTCGAGTTTCTTGCACATTTAAAAAAATCTACCATTTGGATCGATCCTCACTGGGTTTCCCATACTTTCGGTCTTAATCCACATCTAAGCTACACTTAGAAAATCACCACCTCTTGTTGGGATTTTTCGAATTTATATGCATTAGCTTTTTTTTTTTTTTTTTTTAAATTTTTAAACAAAATTAATTTTTTACATTTTATTTGTAATTTTTTAAATGGATATTTGTTTAATCCGACATAATTTCATGTAACTATAAACGTTATTTATAGTATGTACATATATTTGACTTGACATCCCTTATTATTTTCGTAAATAATGCGATTAATGTTAAAAACTCTCGACTGAGAAGACTTTATTGACGAAAAATGTTCCTCGCGACAAGAATCAATGTAAAATTACTGTTTACGTTTCGCTTACGGAAATAAAGCTAGCAGATAGAGATTGGAAAATTCCCAACGAGAAGTATGCATTCCTTAAGTAAGTAATTGAGTTTTGACTTCTCCTGACGGTCTTCCGTAGCCTAATTGGTGAGGGCACGCTTCGTCTCTTTTAACATATTATATTTATATTATATTATAGATTTTGTCATGCAATAAATAATAATGCTCAACATTCCATTTTTGGGACGACGGACATTAATGGGTTAATATAATAATATCACCAGGTACTCTTTCTCTCTCTCTCTCTCTCTCTCTCTCTCTCTCTCTCATTTTTTCTTTCTTTGTACTTATTTGTGTGTACACATCTGTATATGCGTGCAAATTATGTACTTTTGTTATTAGATAACTCATTTTTGAACTAATATAACAATTCGCTACATAAAATAGTAATCAACCACAGGCATTCGTACAAGTAATTGCATTTCTGTTCATATTTGGCCTGATTGCATTTTCTGTTAGATAACTATAATCTGAATGTCATGCAACACTGTTTCATTTCTTTTCTTTTATTCTTATTCTTTGTTTCTTTCTTTGTTTTTTCTTTGTTTCTTTGTTTTTCTTTACCTTTTCTTTTTTCTTTCCTTCTTTGTTCCCAGTTTGTTTCTTTCTTCGTTTACGTCTTTGTTTATCTGTTTTTTTTTTTCCTTTCTTCCTTTTTTCCTCTGGATCTTCTGTTTTATGTCCTTTGTTTTATTTCCTTTTTTCTGTATTTTCTCTTCCTTTTTTTCTCTATCGCTGTTTTTCACACCCTCGCCTCTTTCGTTGGGTTTTATCTCTAGTTTTTTTTTCTCACCCCTAGTCTTTCCCATTGTGTTTTATCTCTTATTTTGCCAAAATATCTTTTGCTTTCCTGGTTCTTTACTTTCAAAATGCACAAGTTTTCCGGGCTCCCACTCCAATTACTATACCATAACCACAACATATTCCCAGTTGTTACTATTATGTAACAAAGCGTCGCATTACAGCTTATACCATTGATGGCACTTATACCTATCTGTATCACCCATCCTTATTATTTATTCAGGTGGTGATATTATATTCATCATATTCTAATGGCAGATTCCCATTCACCCCCCACATCGTCAGACGTACCTATCCGTTTCCTATTAACACAAATATGGATTTTCTTCAGACATATTTCTCCGTAAATCTTGCGTTGCCGATTTTTATTCTGATCATCATTAATCACTAACGTCTTCACCATCAGCATCACCGTCATGCACGTTGATAACCTTATTACCGGAACCGTCACTTCTCACACTGTCATAATTATTGGAAATAGACATTTTTCTCTAAATTACCGATTAACTATATCATCATCATCATCATCATCATTTAATATACATAACATTAACAGCTTTTTGGTGAGAAACAATGAAAAGCAGGTATGTTGAAGGCGGTGGTGAATAGTTCTTGGGCCGACTCACTTCCCGAAATTTGACCAAATGACATTAATTTTAAATCTCTTTTTGTTTACACCGATAACATTTCATCCCTCCGCCTCTTATTATTACAGTAATTTTTACTATTTAAATGAAAAAAAAAGTACAGAAGGATAGAGACTGTACCGTATTAGGGATGGTGATAACCAGTCATATGATATTATGTTAAATATTATCTAAATAAAAAATTGTAAGATCATAGACTGTTTTCTTCTTCTCCTTTTTCTTCTTCTCCTTTTTCTTCTCCTTTTTCTTCTTCTCCTTTTTCTTTTTCATGTGCGGGTGGTGTAATGGATAGTGGCTTGGAATGAAAAATCAGAGCGCCACGTTCAAATTCCAGTCGGGGTCGTTACATTCACTTATGCGCAAATAACCTCGTGAAAGGTATAAATCCATCTCCTTACCACAGCTATGGGTTAAATAGTAGGACTTGCATCTGGAAGAATTATTCTTATTCTCAAAGCATTTTAATGCAATATTAACTTGTAAAAAAGAATTATTCTTAAAATCTAAAACACGTTTCGGCTTTAAATAACCCTCAAAGTGTTGATTAGCCATAAGAAAACAAACAGGGCAATGAAAAAAGTTCTTTGTGGCGTATACTTTGAGGACATGGGTGATCATGGTTCTTCACTGTTTCTTCACAGCTTCATATTCTTTGTCACTCTAAGTAAATTGTGTCTCTCCCTTACTATCTTTCCCACTCCCTGCTCTGACATTAATTTATATAAATTCGTTAGGTGGGTTATTTGTTTCCGTCTATCCCGCTTGCCGTCAATATATCCCGTGAGTGTTAAATTTTCCAAGCCTTCTTTTCCTCATTATGCGTGCCAGAAATTTCAACTGTCTCTTTTTGATTGTAAGTATTAGTGTTTTTCGTTCCCATTTTCCTTAAAACGTCCTCGTTGCACACATGTTCTGTCCATGGCATTCTCAGTAATTCTCTGTAGAACCGAATCTCAGTCGCTTCAAGTCTACTCTTCATCTGCGAGGAAATTAAAAACCAGTCTTACATTATTATGGTAATTATTATTACTTAAATGAAAAGGTGAAAGGGGCAGAGACTGCACTGAGTCACTGATGGATGGTGAAGAATGGTCATGTATTATTACAGGAACTGTTATTACTATTTAAGAAAAAAGATGCAAGAACAGAGATGATACTGTTTTATTGTTATGATGGTAGTATAAAACCTACCATCCATTAACAAAACAAATCAATAACCTGGATCAAAATTAAACTATTTAAAAATGTATAGTATTTCATCAAAGTTTCAGTTGTTTTGTCTTTTAAGAACTCATTTGGAACATTTCAATTTATATTCGTCTTTTGTTCTTGGTCCTTCGACCAAATAGACAGCTTCTTTGCTTTGGATTTGACAAACGTCCAACTCTCTGACCAGAGTGAGTCGTACTTATTTCGCTGGCAATTGCCTTGTGCAGTTTTTGAAAATTCATTAGTTATCCTTTTATCTGTCATGGGATCACAGATGCAATAAATAAACGTATGTGGAAGGGGTGATCTGTACACGTACATATCCCCATACGATTCAGAGCATGACAAAAGATCAATTATTGAACGTTGTCTTTTGGAAGAATACTAGAAACATTCCAGGCAAACTATAAAGAAGTTACTCTGCGACCTTCAGCACCATTTTTGGCATTCTCTTTTGAAGACAGCAACTAGTCAGTCGGAAAGATGCTGAGCATCTACAAATGATTTATGTCGGAATTTATTTAATATGAGGATTTATCGTTATTATATACCTTTACTTCGGACGAGTATGTTTATCTTGGTTCTTATACTCATGAAGTTTTGGTCGTTAAATCCCCCGGCCTTCTTCAGGTGTTTGTCGTATTCGGTGTGCCTTCTCTGTACGGTGACCTGAAAGCTTTAGTCATTCAATGAAACTTTTCTATCACTTTATAACCTAGTTCACCCTTTTGTCGTGTGTTCATTTCTTCAAATGTCTTTTCCTTGTTACTCATCCCAGAGATTGAACTCACGACTGCCACGAACTAACGCTTTAATCCACTCAGATTATCTCTTGGACAATCTATTGATGCTATTTTTGAGTCTTAAACCTAATTTCTCTCGTTAGTTGGAGGAATTTTTAGTATTCTTTCTTTCTTAATCAGAAGCTTCAATATGGTGTTCATCTCGATACTATGTCTACTGAGAAAGTTGTCAGAGCCTAATATATGCACTGATTCTTTCAAACATCTAGTGTTGTTCTCAATATATTATTTTACTTTATTCTAGAGGGGTTAATGAGCACTGTTTCCCTTCATACATGATCAGCTATGCATGCTTTCACTGTTTTCCCCCGGAATACAGCGTTTTCTTGTTTCTCTACTCTTATTTATAGGGGATGGCTAGTCTCGGTCTAATATTCCTTGCCACAACTGCATGGAGTAGTAGTTATACAGTTCTTGCTGATGTTCTCTTATGGGTAGCGCGCAAAAGTCATATGCTCTGGTTCAGTGGGAAAAACCGACCAGTGACATCACGGTGAATAGATAAGAGAGTATTAACTAACACGAGATATCCCTTAAACATAGAAAGCAAAAAGAGAACAATTTTATCCTGGTGGTGGTGGGGGGGTGAATGAAGATTTCAATTCAATATTCTGAGCGGCATACCGAGTACAACAGACACTTGAAAAAGTTCGGGAGCCGGGGTACAATCGCAACCAAGATAAGTATATTAGGCCAAATATAATGGTAATATTAGACGTTTCCTTATAAGGAAACATTCGGCATCCATTGACTGAGCAGCCAGTACTATCGTCAGTTTATAGAATCTTTCTATTAAAGTAACTTTTCAGGAAAATAGGTTTCTCAAGTTCACTGTTATCGCTCTTTCCAGTATTGACGAGGTCTTCCTTCCTAACCTTTTATTTGAAGTAGTGTGGAATGTCAACTACTTGATTATGTCATTCTTTCTCTTTGAGCTATCCATTTTATTTGTTGCAGATTTTGAAAGTCCTTAAGAGATGTGTTTTTTTTTTTTTAGTAGTAGAATTCTTTGTTAGTGATTCTGTAGCACCAGTTCACGGGATTTAAGTTGGATGGTCCTCTTTAAGACCTACAGGATCCATTCGCTCGAAGCTATTTTTAATCATTGATCTGAGAAAACGGTTGTATTGAGCTGACAGTTTATATATTTCTGAACGAGTTTGGCGCCATGTATGACATCCACATGGAAGTCTTGAGTTGAAGCTATTTAAGAACGTGACTCTAGTTTTTAGTTCTTTTTAATGTAAAGACATAATACTATTATCTATAAATTGTAAAAGAAAATTGACGGTTCTCATTTGAACGTATGTTGCAGTGAAAATAAAGCTGTCTGTCTTCATTGAGATTTATATAACGTAACAGAGGATAGGGTTATGGTTGAGATTGTGGGAAAGGGTTGATGAGCCTTTTTTGTTTCGTTTGGTGGTAGTGACGTTTCTTTCTTTCTTTCTTTGCTTTGAAGACTTTACTTCTCGACTCTTTCAAACTATCTCACCGATTTTGTTGAACGAAAAACTACTCTGCATACTTAAAGCACGTCTAAGTGATTAACTTCATTTACTTTCAACAAAGTTGCCCTTAGCCACCGACCTTTTCGCAAAGATATGAAAGACGGCGGCATAAAACACAAGTTTTATAGATGCACTGCATATTCTAATCTTGTTTATTCTGTCATTCCTGTTAACACCATTTCATCAAGTCGTCAGCGAGTAGGAAGAAGTCAAAAACAATTAGAAAACTAATCATTTTTAATATAAATGTTTTGTCTAAGCAAATTCCTCAGAAGCTGGCGTCATTTTGAAGCTGCAAATGTATTTTAGACGTTTCTACCTCGTAGTGAAAAATGTAATAATTCGCTCGTGTTGTCTACCAGATTTAAGTGTCTAATACAGGGGTTGTCGGACTTTTTCCCCACTATGTAATAAATGGGGACAGGGAGGGTCTTAAAGTCAGGTTGGGAAATCATATAATTTAAAGAGTCAAAAAGCACGAAATTAATAATGGCGGGGGTAGTCTTGTTAAACTCAAGGGGACCAGAAAATTTCCTAAAAGGTTTTCCCGCTTTATTAGGCATTTAATAATACAGTCTTTGTCGATACTAGTTCGATACCTGTTTAAATTGTTTCATTTAAAATAATGCATTTATTAGAAAATATTTTCAGTTTAATTACAGAATGAGTCATAGAAATGACTTCAAAGTGCTTTACATTTCAGCTTATACTCTTTTCCTTGTTACTCAGGGTTTGTTGTTAGACATAAAGGGAAATTACCCCTTGCATCACAGGGGGGTCTATTTCAATTTAATTCAAATTATATGTG